TATTATTATTATTATTATTATTTATTATTTTGGTCTTACAGGCCTTGGGTAAGTTTCTGCTTTTTGTTACTAGGAAATGTTTTATGATTTGTGATTCCATCTTCACTTGTGGCATGTAAATCAGATTATCTTAAGTTATGTAAATCAGTCTGTTCTTTATTCCCAAGTCTATAACTTCTTCAAACGTCTTCATACCCAACATGTCCTCACACATTCCAAACCTCAGAATCTAGTTTGCACACTTTGTTAACATTTACACACTATCATGATATGAAGGTCTATTAAAGGTTTATCTGCTCCTACGACACGCACCCCTTGTAAACCAACGACCACGATGTATTTCCTCACAAGTGTCTGCAACCTAAATACCCAAACTGGCATTGCAGCGGCCCCTTCGTACAACTCAGGAATACCACTGCCACAAGGCTGGTACTATTTTTCAAGTGGGTGGAGCTCCGGCGTTATATCCAGATAATGGCAATCCAATAGCCGACATATGATTTGAAAGTAGTAAATGGGCACACAATCCGCGCACGTATTTCGTATGACAATTTTTATCAAATTTTTCTCAAAATAATGTCGGATTCTTAATATCTTTGCCAACTTTTATTAGTACTAATCTTATTACAAAGGATACGCGTAACCTGGCCGCGCTGTAAAACTTGTGGTAAAAAGCCGTTAGAAATTCTCACGGAAATCTACTTGTGGCAGTGGTGAATTGAGCCAGAGCGAGATCTAGAGACACCATCTGTTGTGGCGTTTTGCCTATACTTTCTCGTAAATATTCCACTGTCAAGTGCGTGCCACTTGCCATGTGAAAATGGCAGAATTTTTGATTCAATTAAATTAAATTTACACTTATGAATACATTTATTTACACTCGGATGATATCTAAGCGATGTATCTTGTCTCGGTAGCTGCTCGGCAAACAGTAAACGCATCTTCACGCACTGCGAAGAAGGACAGTGTGGCACATCACCTACCGGCTGCTGAAGAGAGCCAACATCATGTAGAGGCGTTCCGCCAGGCTCAGCTCATCGAGAATACTCGCTCATACTGCAGAGGTAAGCGCCACCTGTCTGTATCGCCTGTCCCACTGTCCGCCGACGCCGCGAATTCAGAGAGAATAGGCCGCGGGTCGCGCTCCTTACGTGCCATGGATGCCCTCCTCATACGTCGTAGTCACCCTCTTTATTTGGCGTGGGTGACCTCCTTATTTGGCGTGGGTGACCTCCTTATTTGGTGGATGCCCTCTTTATTTTGGCGTGGTGACCTCCTTATTTGGCGTGATGTCCTCCGTATTTGTCCTGGGTGACTTCCATATTGGCGTGGTGCCTCTATTTGCGTGGATGCCCTCCTTATTTGTCGTGGGTGACTTCCATATTTCGGCGGTGGTGACCTACCTTATTTGGCGTGAGAAATGCCCTCCTTATTTGTCGTTGGCTGAATTCCATATTTAGCGTGGGTGACCTCCTTATTTGGACGTGGATGCCCCTCCATCCTAATTGTAGTCGGGCTGACTTCAATATTTTGCTGTTGCGATGACCTCAGCTATAATAATAATAAATAATAAACTCTGCACCTGTTTCGGTTCATCGAGTAAAGGTGCCTCTTCCGTTTCTACGACCGAGGCATCCATGCTCAGATCTCCACTAGGTTCTGTTTTCACGACCCCATCGCTGCTAGTGTGTGCAGGGGAGGCGGGTGCCGAGGCCACAGGGGTCATACACGGACTCGCTGTTAACAAAGACGGTAAAAACTCATTACATTCGTATCTTACAAGATGAACAACTGCAGAGCAATAAGCAATAACCGCATAGCAATAATAAATATAGTAGCATCAAATATTGTTACATGACTGTGAACGATAATGCTTTGTGATTGCTTCATATGAAATATATACGATTATACAACATGTATGTTTCTGATTATAAATGCCAATTACTACACAAACAATGCCAAAGACTACTGCACTAAAATGACAGGAGGTAACAAACACGATACTGTGACCACGTCAGAGCTGCTCCATCATGGTGGACTTACCAGTTACACTTGCCGGCAGCTGCTTCTTTAGCTCCAGGCACCTCAGCTTCTCCTGCTCAAAGCGTGTGCTCAGCTCACTGGATTTCTCGTGGTTTCTCGACACGTATCTGCAACCAAGAGCCATGTAGGCTGTACGTTAGGGCAAATTATAACCCCCACATGTAAATTTAAGTTTTGTCACACGACTAACGCATAATTGACACGATAGGTTTTGGTTTTGCACATCAAAGAAACCAGGACCAGCCTAGTTAAGGATACTCTCAAGGTTTTAGGCAAAATTTTACCGATTTTTCATTTTCAACTTTATTCGATGGCTACCACTATGTGCCACCTGTGTACATGCTCATTTATCCATATAACGGTACATGTGAACTGTCAGAGCGTTTTGATTGCCCGCGTACATGTGTAGTGAGCCGCGGCTGACGTCATGATGACGTCAGAGACATGATACGACAAGCATTTTCACGATATTCACTAAGCCAGTATCATTTAGCATCAACCCTTCTGTAACAGTGTGCGGAGAGGTTTGGCATTTAATCAAATTGTGTGTGGTGAAATTAATAGCTTTTCTCACATTGTACATTTTCTTATGGCATGTTGAGTAACGCGTACACTAGCCAAGGCCACGCCTGTGTGGCAAAGCAGGATGTCAGTTCTAACTGCGTAGATGCAAACCCGGATGTAGACACGTACGTACGCGACGTGGTGCAGTGCGCCACAGGCGAGTGGCGAGGGGACGCCTTTCGGCCTGCAGTGGCCTTGGGGACCCCTGACGTGACGTCACCTCGCTGGTCATATATATGTGACCACACCTTGGGAGCTCTTGAGTTTTCCAAGCGAGCGCACATTTACGATTCATGTGTTAGACTACTGGATTTTGGGACTATTGCTCATGTGTGTGTTGTGAGCAGCAATAAATTCTTGTGCGTGGAAGCTCACTTTTGGACTTATGAAATTATTTGTGTGATCGCTTTTCCTTCGAGCGGAAATGCAACACGCACGAATTGGGTTTGGAAATTAATGCAATTATACAATTAATACGAATCAAAGAATAACACAACGCAAGGCTTAGGACAGTAATACGATCACGAGCCACACACAGTCGGGTGTCTCCCGACGTATCTACACGAACTGAAACTTAACGCAACTAGGTTTCACTTCCACAGCTGTCTTCTGCCAGTGATAGTTGAAATTTCCGTGGGACCGAAAATAGCCCTGTTCCCCTAGCTACACACCTTGCATTTAGGCGTGCATTTCTTAACACGCAGGTTTGTGACGTCATGCAGTGGGCGGTGTTGGCGCGTTTCGGATCGTGGTGTGTGGTAACCTCGTAATTTCTTAGAATTTCTCAAGGTGCATAGAAGATTTAATCAATTTAGTGGTTGCAGTTAGTCATGGATATGTCGCAGTAAGTACTAACAATAGATATATCACATACGTTCACCCATTTTGCACACAGGCGGTCACTCATTGTGAAAAATAGAAAAACGCTGATTTCTCCGTTTCGATTTCTGACATAGTAGCCGATGTATAAATGGATATTTCTCTGTGATTACAACTCAGAATAATTTAATTTTACACTTTAGTTTTAATGGCAACATATTGCTGTAAAAAAGGGTGTCAGGGATTGTTATTAAGTGCCGTATTTTATGAGTTTTGTCTGTTTATTTGCTAAAATTTTAAATTCAAACGTGCGACTTGAATTTTAGGCAGTTTTTTTCATTTTTCTCGGTAAATATGAAACTTAAAGAAAAATCCTGAAGCCGTTTTTTGGTACATATTGTGCTTAACATGTGGCGAAAATTTTGTATCCTCACTCTTTCTGGTAATTGAGAAATATCCAAAATAACATTTTTACATACAAATTCAAAATTTGTGTGGTAACATAATTAGGTGCTGGAAATTTCATGAAATTTTTTGGCTTGAGCATAGAGACATATCTCCTCTATAAATAAAACAAGTGATTGATTAGATTCATTTGTCAATAAACGTTTAATCTTCATTAGAGCAATACCCGTGCAAAAGGTGGAGAGTATCCTTTTACACTGGCCAAGTTCCCTCTCTCCTATCCACCCCTATTCTTGCAATCTCCATTTCCCTCTCTCAGTGTCTCTGTATCTGTCACTTCCCCTCTCTCCTACTTACTTCCCTCTTTGCCTCTCTATATATCTCCATTTCCCTCTCTCGGCATCTCTGTATCTGTCACTTCCCCCCTCTCCTAGCTCCCCCTCTCTTTGCCTCTCTATATATCTCCATTTCCCTCTCTCGGCATCTCTGTATCTGTCACTTCCCCCCTCTCCTAGCTCCCCCTCTCTTTGCCTCTCTATATATCTCCATTTCCCTCTCTCGGCATCTCTGTATCTGTCACTTCCCCCCTCTCCTAGCTCCCCCTATCTTTGCCTCTCTATATATCTCCATTTCCCTCTCTCGGCGTCTCTGTATCTGTCACTTCCCCTCTCTCCTAGTTACTTCTATCTTTGCCTCTCTATATACCTCCATTTCCCTCTCTCGGTGTCTCTGTATCTGTCACTTCCCCTCTCTCCTACTTACTTCTATCTTTGCCTCTCTATATACCTCCATTTCCCTCTCTCGGTGTCTCTGTATCTGTCACTTTCCCCTCTCTCTTACCTACTCCTATCTTTGCATCTCTATAAATCTCCACTCGATTCCCCTCTCTCGGTGTTTCTCTCTCTGCCATGCTCCCCTCACCTTCTTTTACTCTCTGGCTGCTGCAACACTGATAGAAATGCACGCGATTCTTGCTACGTTTACCTGGACACTCGCTGGCGTCCCTCATCCCTCATCAGTGCCTTGACGACACGCATGCGCTCCAAGTATCGGCACACGCTGCGCGCCTCCAGCTTGCCCAGGCCACAGATCTGTCCGACATCGTTCTGCGACATGCCGTCCGGTCCCGCGGCATCCACCAACTTCCATATCTGGTGGAGGATGGCATGCTCCAACACTAGGTTTGCCTTGTCCTGCACTGCAACGCGCGATAGGATAACGACGGGTGAGTACAGAGTAATGAAGGATCTGAATGCAGCCTTGTATTTTCTCGTATTAGACTCAGAGTCAAATCTCGTATTAATTGTACGTAGTTTTCGCAAACCAGCAACTCTGCAGCAATTGCAGTTTAGAATACAGGAATCCGAAATCAGTCGACAGTTGCTCTCCTACAGAAATAACGAAAAAGTTATGGGAACTGAGAGTAGTCATGATATTGTACACACGCACATACACACACGCCTGCACGGACGCACGCACACACACACACACGCCTGCACGGATGCACGCACGCACGGATGCACACCGCACACATGCACATCACACGCCCACACACACACCCGCACACACACTGTCACATACGCCCACCGCACACCACACGCACCCACGTACGTACGCACACACGCCTGCACGGATGCACGCACGCACGGATGCACACCGCACACATGCACATCACACGCCCACACACACACCCGCACACACACTGTCACATACGCCCACCGCACACCACACGCACCCACGTACGTACGCACACACGCCTGCACGCACGTACGGACGAACACAAAGACGCATGCACACCCGCATGCATGCACCCACGCATGTATGGACGAACACAAAGACGCACG